AAGTCCAAGACTCTAGTTTGACTGTGTTCTATTGCTTGTGCTTCCATAATGTTGAATTCCAATATTGCATGGTCACTTCCTCCCAAGGTTCCTATGGCTTCAACACCTTCTATCATTTCATCTCTGTTAGTGAGAATTAGGTCCAAAATGGCTAATCCCCTAGTTCCCTTCTCTACTTTTTGGGAGACAAAGTTGTCTGTTAGGTTTGTCAGGAATCTGTTTGATCTTCCACTCGGCGCAGAGTTTGTCTCCCAGTTGATGTCAGGGTAGTTAAAGTCCCCCATCACTATTGTGATGTGCTTCCTACATACCTTAGTTAGCTGATTAGCAAAAAGTTCATCTATTTCCTCTGTTTGGTTGGGTGGCCTATAGTATACACCTATGGTAATGTCGTTTTCCCCCCCTTTTATATTGACCCAAATGCATTCAGGATAGTTTTCATCATTGCTGTGCTCTATTTCTGTAGAGATGTAGTTATTTCCTATATAGAGAGCAACTCCACCTCCTCTTTTATTTGGCCTGTTTCTTTTAAATAATTTAAATCCCTCTAGCGAAATTGTTTATGAAGATATTAAAGAGTACTGGACCTAAGAGAGAACCTTGGAGTCCCCCACTACTTACTCCTCTCCATGTAGATGTAGCTCCATTAAGGACTATATGTTGAATGTGGTTTATCAGCCAATCACAAATCCATCTGGTGGTGATGCTGTCTATCCCACATTTTTTTTAACTTACTAAGAAGTAGGTTATGATTGACTTGGTCAAATACCTGGCTGAAATCCAAATATACTATGTCCACAACATGTTGCTCGTCCACTAATTTAGTCACTTTGTCAAAGAATGAAATAAGATTCGTTTGGCATGATCTGTTTTTGATAAACCCATGTTGACTTGTTATAACTTTGTTTGCTTCTAGGTGTTCTCAGATCTGCTGCTTGATTATGTTTTCCAGGATATTTCTCAGATATTGATGGCAGGATGATTGGTCTGTAGTTTCCAAGATCCATTCCCCCCCCCCTTTTTTTGATGTTGGGAACCATATCAACTCTTTTCCAGTCCTCTGGTGGTTCCCTGCTGCTCCAGGAATTTATGAATAAAAAGAAATAAAAAGGAACCCTCCCTCCAATGTAGAGAACACTCTACAATAGCAACTGAGAGTCAAAAGTTCTTTGAATTCTGTTTTGTGATTCACAGAACAGCAGTGGGTGAATCAAAAGCTAGATCATGTTACCTTCTTTCTTTAATTGATCCCCACACATTTGCACAATATGTAACTGTATATATCATACTTATGAGTTTTCATTAGTAATTATGACACTCTCAAATTTCTACACATGATATGGCAGAATGGAAAAGAATATCCCATCCTTGCTCTGTTTCCCCTTTGGCTGCACAGAAAATATCTGAGGGCAGGTCAAGGCTTGTTGCAGTCACTTTCCAGCAAAACAGATGGTGGGATGGAGATGAACTTTGCCTATGCTCCCCTCCTTATTTTTATTTATTCATTTCCTGTCTTCATTATTTTTTATAAATAGCTTTAAGCAGTGAACATACCTGATATTCCTTCCTCCTCCTATTTTCCCCACAAGAACAACAACCCTGTGAGGTGGGTTGGACTGAGATAAAGTGACTGGCTTTCATGTCTAAGGTAGGACTTGAACTC